CGCGTGTCACATTAGGAGTGTGTGTGTGTGGCACACGGGTCACATTAGGAGTGTGTGTGTGTGTGGCATGCAGGTGCGTACGGCTCTGACCCGACACACGGGTCACATTAGGAGTGTGTGTGTGTGGCACACGGGTCACATTAGGAGTGTGTGTGTGTGTGGCATGCAGGTGCGTACGGCTCTGACCCGACACACGTGTCACATTAGGAGTGTGTGTGTGTGTGGCATGCAGGTGCGTACGGCTCTGACCCGACACACGTGTCACATTAGGAGTGTGTGTGTGTGGCACACGGGTCACATTAGGAGTGCGTGTGTGTGGCACACGGGTCACATTAGGAGTGTGTGGCACACGGGTCACATTAGGAGTGTGTGGCACACGGGTCACATTAGGAGTGTGTGTGTGTGGCACACGGGTCACATTAGGAGTGCATGTGTGTGGCACACGGGTCACATTAGGAGTGCGTGTGTGGCACACGGGTCACATTAGGAGTGTGTGTGTGTGGCACACGGGTCACATTAGGAGTGCGTGTGTGTGGCACACGGGTCACATTAGGAGTGTGTGTGTGTGGCACACGGGTCACATTAGGAGTGTGTGTGTGTGGCACACGGGTCACATTAGGAGTGTGTGTGTGTGGCATGCAGGTGCGTACGGCTCTGACCCGACACACGGGTCACATTAGGAGTGTGTGTGTGTGGCACACGGGTCACATTAGGAGTGTGTGTGTGTGTGGCATGCAGGTGCGTACGGCTCTGACCCGACACACGGGTCACATTAGGAGTGTGTGTGTGTGGCATGCAGGTGCGTACGGCTCTGACCCGACACACGTGTCACATTAGGAGTGTGTGTGTGTGGCATGCACGTGCGTACGGCTCTGACCCAACACGCGTGTCACATTAGGAGTGTGTGTGTGTGGCATGCAGGTGCGTACGGCTCTGACCCGACACGCGTGTCACATTAGGAGTGTGTGTGTGTGGCATGCAGGTGCGTACGGCTCTGACCCGACACACGGGTCACATTAGGAGTGTGTGTGTGTAGCATGCAGGTGCGTACGGCTCTGACCCGACACACGGGTCACATTAGGAGTGTGTGTGTGTGGCATGCAGGTGCGTACGGCTCTCACCCGACACACGGGTCACATTAGGAGTGTGTGTGTGTGTGGCATGCAGGTGCGTACGGCTCTGACCCGACACACGGGTCACATTAGGAGTGTGTGTGTGTGGCATGCAGGTGCGTACGGCTCTGACCCGACACGCGTGTCACATTAGGAGTGTGTGTGTGTGTGGCATGCAGGTGCGTACGGCTCTGACCCGACACGCGTGTCACATTAGGAGTGTGTGTGTGTGGCACACGGGTCACATTAGGAGTGTGTGGCACACGTGTCACATTAGGAGTGTGTGTGTGTGGCACACGGGTCACATTAGGAGTGTGTGTGTGTGGCACACGGGTCACATTAGGAGTGCGTGTGTGTGGCACACGGGTCACATTAGGAGTGTGTGTGTGTGGCACACGGGTCACATTAGGAGTGTGTGTGTGTGGCACACGGGTCACATTAGGAGTGCATGTGTGTGGCACACGGGTCACATTAGGAGTGTGTGTGTGTGGCACACGGGTCACATTAGGAGTGTGTGTGTGTGGCACACGGGTCACATTAGGAGTGCGTGTGTGTGGCACACGGGTCACATTAGGAGTGCATGTGTGTGGCACACGGGTCACATTAGGAGTGTGTGTGTGTGGCACACGGGTCACATTAGGAGTGCATGTGTGTGGCACACGGGTCACATTAGGAGTGCGTGTGTGTGGCACACGGGTCACATTAGGAGTGTGTGTGTGTGGCACACGGGTCACATTAGGAGTGTGTGTGTGTGGCACACGGGTCACATTATGAGTGCGTGTGTGTGGCACACGGGTCACATTAGGAGTGTGTGGCACACGGGTCACATTAGGAGTGTGTGGCACACGGGTCACATTAGGAGTGCATGTGTGTGGCACACGGGTCACATTAGGAGTGTGTGTGTGTGGCACACGGGTCACATTAGGAGTGCATGTGTGTGGCACACGGGTCACATTAGGAGTGTGTGTGTGTGGCACACGGGTCACATTAGGAGTGCATGTGTGTGGCACACGGGTCACATTAGGAGTGTGTGTGTGTGGCACACGGGTCACATTAGGAGTGCATGTGTGTGGCACACGGGTCACATTAGGAGTGCGTGTGTGTGGCACACGGGTCACATTAGGAGTGTGTGTGTGTGGCACACGGGTCACATTAGGAGTGTGTGTGTGTGGCACACGGGTCACATTATGAGTGCGTGTGTGTGGCACACGGGTCACATTAGGAGTGTGTGGCACACGGGTCACATTAGGAGTGTGTGGCACACGGGTCACATTAGGAGTGTGTGGCACACGGGTCACATTAGGAGTGTGTGTGTGTGGCACACGGGTCACATTAGGAGTGCATGTGTGTGGCACACGGGTCACATTAGGAGTGCGTGTGTGTGGCACACGGGTCACATTAGGAGTGTGTGTGTGTGGCACACGGGTCACATTAGGAGTGTGTGTGTGTGGCACACGGGTCACATTAGGAGTGTGTGTGTGTGGCACACGGGTCACATTAGGAGTGCATGTGTGTGGCACACGGGTCACATTAGGAGTGCGTGTGTGTGGCACACGGGTCACATTAGGAGTGTGTGTGTGTGGCACACGGGTCACATTAGGAGTGTGTGTGTGTGGCACACGGGTCACATTAGGAGTGTGTGTGTTTGGCACACGGGTCACATTAGGAGTGCGTGTGTGTGGCACACGGGTCACATTAGGAGTGTGTGTGTGTGGCACACGGGTCACATTAGGAGTGTGTGTGTTTGGCACACGGGTCACATTAGGAGTGCGTGTGTGTGGCACACGGGTCACATTAGGAGTGTGTGTGTGTGGCACACGGGTCACATTAGGAGTGTGTGTGTTTGGCACACGGGTCACATTAGGAGTGCGTGTGTGTGGCACACGGGTCACATTAGGAGTGTGTGTGTGTGGCATGCAGGTGCGTACGGCTCTGACCCGACACGCGGCTGTCGGGACAGCATCATATTTCATCTCTGACGAGTGAGAACGAGGCTGTGAGGGAGAGAAGTGTGTGGTGTGGAAGTGTGTTCTGTTCAGTGGGTTGGACTGTCTAACAACATGCTAACTGTTCAGCTGTACAGAAGACAAAACTCTGTTCTGACAGATGTGATCTTGGACCTTTATACAGCCAACATGACATCATGACTTTGCGTAAACATACACGCCACTTTCAAGTCAAGTGGCGTGTTATCTATACGCATTTTGAGCTATCCGCGTGTGTGTCCACGCCGAAACGAACCGTCATCTTTTGCGTGTATGTCTACGCCGTTAAATGTCCGAGTGATTCCGCGTGTATGTGTACGCCGTTAAATGTCGGAGCGAAACGAAGCAAAATTCATATCTACATCTGTGGAGCAATATTTTTTTTCCTAGGATGGTAGGGGAAGACTCATAAATGGTATTAACCCCAGTGACGGGTAGGTTTAGGGACGGGGTTGGGGTAGGTCATATATTTACATATACAGTAATGTAACGTTAAGTCAACGGCGTTGATAAACACGCTGAAAAGCGATTATGCGTGCTTGATAGCACGCCAAAAATGTAAATACGAATTGCCGTGTCATACATACGCCATTTCATGAGATCAGTCTGATACAGCGCATGCCATTGTAAAGAGTGTAGAGTGCTCTCACACCTGAGAGTTTGTTTCGGATCCTGGTGTGTTTTCTCCCTTGGTTCGGTTCGTTTAGGCTTATGTGAACACGGCAATAGTCTGAGATCGCCTGAACGAGGTTGTCTTGGACCGATTGCAAACAAACTCTGGAACGGTTCACTTGAGGTGTGAAAGCAATCCAACCCAACGGACCAACGAATCAATTCAAATGGAAAATGCGCTTTATAAATAGCAGTATTGATGATTCTGTGAGTGAGCACATTAGTTATCACAGTTGAAAAGCAAAAGAGCACCTCTTCATCTTAAAATGTTGTTCTCTGTGTGAGAAACTGTCCCGGATGAAGCCTTGATTCCTGCTCCAGCTGCATTATAACACTCGTATAGTGTTTGCGTATTTCTGCACCAGACGTAAGTATTAATATGAATGCAGTATATTATTTAACAGCGGGAATGACGGCTACATTCGTATAGTGTTTGCATGTGTCTCGACAGTTGCCACAATAAGCTCAGCTTGTCAATCATATTCTTGATGGATGACGCAGAGGAAACGCTGACCAATAAGAGGACAGTTGTACTCGCCATCTACTGGCCTGACATGAATAATACAGCGTTTTTAGTCATTTTCACGGATCGGATGTGAACGAGGATCGTTTAACTACGCTGTCTGTATGTGACAAATGCAATTGAAAAATCAAAAAAAGCTGTCACCCGAGCAGCTGCGATATCTAGTGCTGTCCTTCTGACTTACTGGGAACATTGATGTTTTTAAATAAATGATGTAACAAAAGTTTACATTCCAAGTTGTTGTTTATTGCTATAAGGTCAAACATGATGATGAATATCTGTCGGTTCAATAAATATCTTACCAGTTAAGTCAAATTAAAGCAGTCTCTGTGTTGCTTTAAATCCTTCCAAACCTCTGAAAGGCAAGCCAATATTGATTCAGGTTTTAATACAGACTCGGCTTCTGTTCCCTTTTTGCTTGTAGACTCTACTGTTTTCATTTATATATAGGTTTATCCAAGTGTATCTCAGTTAAGACATGGTTTGGACAGGTGGATTCTTTTTGCACTCTCTCATTAATAACATTTTGTATATTTTCTTATTAAAAAAGTCCCATATTGTAGCTTAGAACGTCGGCCTGACCAAAGAGCACAGTGGTTGAAGGCAAAAGCCAATGGAAGACGGTATAATGAAGCCTTGAGGCATGATTTCCACATTGACTATCCTAGCCTGACCAAGCTGTCCTTGTCTCCTGTGCTCATTCTGCAGGTGTACCAGATGGACACGGGTCACTATCTATGCAGGAACAAGTACTACGGCCGGGGTCTTTCCACCGAGGGGTTTCGACACGCACTCTTTCAGTTCATGCACAATGGGACGCAGCTGCGCAAAGACCTTTTAGAGCCCATCCTGAGCAAACTGTGCAGCCTGAAGAGTGTGCTGGAGCGCCAGGCCTCGTACCGCTTCTACTCCAGCTCCCTGCTCATCATCTACGAGGGCAAGGACCCGGAGTGTGCCGACCCCTCGGAGGAGAGCCAGGCCTCTCAGGACAAGCCTCGGGCGCTGAGTGTGGACGTGCGCATGATAGACTTCGCCCACAGCACCTTCAAGGGTTTCCGGGATGACCAAACCGTCCACGACGGCCCGGACCGCGGATACGTGCTCGGACTCGAGAGCCTCGTCAACATCTTGCAGCAGATCCGCGAGGAGAACCAGTAGCCAACCAGTCGGCCCTTCGGTTGCAGTCCAACATGCAACGCTACTCCCTCCAGACTGTTGACATTTTCATAGAAAAGCAACGATGTTTATAAAGATTGCACATTACGCAAACCTAAAGGTGTGTTTTCTGTTTCTCAGTTAGTATTTGAGCCATGAGGGATTCATGTACACCAGAAATGGAGGCAGGTTCTTGGCTCTGCTGTCCCGAGAGAGACGGCCACTAGTCCGCCTCTCCTCGACAGGAGATGTTTCAGTGTGTTCGTCACGTGGACTCATCGCCATCATGTGACCGGCTGAAGAACTGCAGTCATGAACCAGGAGCTCAGGGCACGTCTGCTGTCAGGGTCTCTCTTAAAGTGTGTGTGTGTGTGTGAGAGAGTGTGTGGGTGGGTGGGTGGGGGTGTGTGTGTGTGTGTGTGTGTGGTGAATCACAAGATGAAATGCCCAGGTCACATTTTACCCCAAGTTCACAAGAAATTATGAAGCCGATTTTAGGACCTTTAAGATTTTTGTGCCATTATTTTCATGATAAATTAAGCATGAATGCATTTCTACCTAAAACTTCCAGAAACACTGATTGTGTTTTCCATTTATTAATATATTATAATTATGCTTAATTATGAAAATAATGTCACAATGCAAACAAAATCTTACTGGTTTTAAACATATCTTGATGCAGTAATGTGATTTTCTTGTGCTGTTTGGGGCTGGAATATGAGCTGTAGTTCCCAGCATTTCTCCAGGGGTTTAAAGGGAGGCGTTTAGCTCAGAGTCGCTGGTTAAAGCTTTATTGTAGAGCTGGTGGTTTTAAACCACTCTTCTCTGATGACAAGATGATGGATCTGGCCTTATGGCAATAGTTGAATGGACAGCTTAGTTATGTTCGTCTATTTAACCAGTCAGGTGATGTTTTTTTTGGTAGCTATCTTACTCTGTACATTTAGAGCAATCATTCAATTTGACAGTTTTTACATATTTGTTGGGATAGTATATTTGTAGTCTTGAATATAGATTATCCTTGTGTTACAAAGTCTTTCCCTGTCAGCAACGAGGTTATCATTACAGAAGAAAACCTCACTGCAAAAAACATAATTTTCTTAATCTGTCGAAATTTTTAAACATCCTTAAAACATTGAAAAGCAAAATTGTGTAGGGTATTAAGATTACAGAAAAAAAAGTCTCAAATTAATTTCTCACCTCATTGGCAAATCTTGATTTAAGGCAAGCAACAAAAAAAATAATTCTTTAATATTTGAAACAATTTTGCTTCTCCATTTATATGGCATATTTGGATAATTTTGCTGAAAAACAGGCGAGATAAAACGGCTGATTAAGAAACTTATCTTTGCTTTAGTTCGTGCTCACTAACATCTGCACTGTAAATGATTATAAAGAGCATGTCTTTTCATTTGGTTTTGTTTTGTATTCATTTTGAAGGGTTGTCTTTTAACTACACCGATACACAGTGACGATTTGCCATCAGCAAATGTAGCAAGATTCGTCCCTAGGTTGGTCCTCGTGAGAATGACACGTTCAGCATGTTCTCTGTCTAGATGAATCATTTATTGCACTATAGTGTCAACCTCTTGCTGAAACATGGACACTTTTTTGCATTCTCTGGGAAACAGACATCACATCCGCCTGTAGTAGCAGTTGAGCAAATATACTGTAATAACTGTTCGTTCGTTCGTTCGTTCGTTCGTTCGTCTTGTCCTACATTTATTGACTTTGGTCACATGTGGTGTATAAATCATAAATCAACATGGCATCTATGCGGAGTTGTGCCGTAGGGATGTGTCTGTGTTTAGACGTGTGATTTTGGTCAATAGCCATAACTGGGACGTCCAGGAGTGTATCGCGTGCATTAATGTTTTATAACAGAGTCATCACAGCACATCAGGTCATTTCTTTAATCGTTGAAGGGAAACGTTTGAAGAACAAATGCCACATGCGTGATGTGATGTGTTCTCTCACAATAAATGAGCAATGTACTAAAGTTACATTTAGAATACATCATTACTAACATGATTAAAGTGTAGCTGGTTTGTGTATCTAAACCTTTCTTTTGTGCCGAACCATGAGAGAGGAACGCTGATTCATAGATTTGGCATAAAAAGAAAGAATATTATTACCCCTCATCCTGAAAACGATCCTTTTATCTTTATTGTTGTTGCATGGATGGGTATTTTTTTAAGAAAAAATTATATGACAACTTTGAATGTGAGATATAAATTGTTTATTTAAGTAAAGTTGTCTTGTCTCTTTAATATTTTGTTGCTGTTTTGATTTAACAAAAAAAAAAGCAGAACACTCATTTCTACAAAGCAAAATAACCAAATAATGAAACCCACTAAAAACACATGCAGAATGCATTTCCTGAGGGAAAACCAATAGTTTCACGCCAGCATAGGGTACATTTCACATCAGCACAAAGGTGTAAGAACAATATACTTTCTCAATAAAACAACTATTGGTTTCAGTTTATATATTTTATCAGTGTAACGTATCTGCTAGTGTCAAAGCTTAATCATTTAACAACATTTTGATATTGCAACAAAAAAAAAGGTTGTCAACTGTACCGGACAACTACATGCTGACACTGTCACTGCATAAACTGATTAAGTGACTCAAATATGTAATGTTTAGTTTTTCTGCCATATGTATAGTGACTATTCTAAAAGACTTCTAAGAATTGTATTTTTTTTGAAGATTTGTGTAAAATTCTCAGCATGGTCACTAAGGACAAGAACATTTTTATCATGAATCTGCTTTAAAGATCCTTTTGGTAGTTTAAGAATGTCATGCAAAAGTCCATGTGGATGTAAACTATACCCTGAGATAATATTAAAAGCATATTTCAAATGTAAAAAACAAAAAAAAAGTTTTGACAGTAACAGTTGACAATGACAGTAACAGTTGACAATCACAGTAACAGTTGACAGTGACAGTAACAGTTGACAGTGTCAGTAACAGTTGATAGTGACAGTAACAGTTGACAATCACAGTAGCAGTTGACAGTGATAGTAACAGTTGACAGTGATAGTAACAGTTGACAATGACAGTAACAGTTGACAATCACAGTAACAGTTGACAGTGACAGTAACAGTTGACAGTGATAGTAACAGTTGACAATGACAGTAACAGTTGACAGTGATAGTAACAGTTGACAGTGATAGTAACAGTTGACAGTGACAGTAACAGTTGACAGTAACAGTAAGAGGTTGACAGTGACAGTAACAGTTGACAGTGATAGTAACAGTTGACAGTGATAGTAACAGTTGACAATGACAGTAACAGTTGACAGTGATAGTAGCAGTTGACAGTGATAGTAACAAGTGACAGTAACAGTTGACAGTGATAGTAACAGTTGACAGTGATAGTAACAGTTGACAGTGATAGTAACAGTTGACAGTGACAGTAACAGTTGACAGTGATAGTAACAGTTGACAGTGATAGTAACAGTTGACAGTGATAGTAACAGTTGACAATGACAGTAACAGTTGACAGTGACAGTAACAGTTGACAATGACAGTAACAGTTGACAATGACAGTAACAGTTGACAATGACAGTAACAGTTGACAATGACAGTAACAGTTGACAGTAACAGTAAGAGGTTGACAGTGACAGTAACAGTTGACAGTGATAGTAACAGTTGACAATGACAGTAACAGTTGATAGTGACAGTAACAGTTGACAATGATAGTAACAGTTGACAGTGATAGTAACAGTTGACAATGACAGTAACAGTTGACAGTGACAGTAACAGTTGACAGTGATAGTAACAGTTGACAGTGATAGTAACAGTTGACAATGACAGTAACAGTTGACAATGACAGTAGCAGTTGACAGTGATAGTAACAGTTGACAGTGATAGTAACAGTTGACAATGACAGTAACAGTTGACAGTGATAGTAACAGTTGACAATGACAGTAACAGTTGACAGTGACAGTAACAGTTGACAATGACAGTAACAGTTGACAATGACAGTAGCAGTTGACAGTGATAGTAACAGTTGACAATGACAGTAACAGTAACAGTTGACAATGACAGTAACAGTTGACAGTGATAGTAACAGTTGACAATGACAGTAACAGTTGACAATGACAGTAACAGTTGACAATGACAGTAACAGTTGACAGTGATAGTAACAGTTGACAATGACAGTAACAGTTGACAGTGACAGTAACAGTTGACAGTGACAGTAACAGTGACAGTAACAGTTGACAATGACAGTAACAGTTGACAGTGACAGTAACAGGTGACAGTAACAGTTGACAGTGATAGTAACAGTTGACAGTGACAGTTGACAGTGATAGTAACAGTTGACAGTGATAGTAACAGTTGACAGTGACAGTAACAGTTGACAGTGACAGTAACAGTTGACAGTGATAGTAACAGTTGACAGTGATAGTAACAGTTGACAGTGATAGTAACAGTTGACAATGACAGTAACAGTTGACAATGACAGTAACAGTGACAGTAACAGTTGACAATGACAGTAACAGTTGACAGTGACAGTAACAGGTGACAGTAACAGTTGACAGTGATAGTAACAGTTGACAGTGACAGTAGCAGTTGACAATGACAGTAACAGTTGATAGTGACAGCAACAGTTGACAGTGATAGTAACAGTTGACAGTGATAGTAACAGTTGACAATGACAGTAACAGTTGACAATGACAGTAACAGTTGACAATGACAGTAACAGTTGACAGTGACAGTAACAGTTGACAGTGATAGTAACAGTTGACAGTGACAGTAACAGTTGACAGTGATAGTAACAGTTGACAATGACAGTAGCAGTTGACAGTGATAGTAACAGTTGACAGTGATAGTAGCAGTTGACAGTGATAGTAACAGTTGACAGTGATAGTAACAGTTGACAATGACAGTAACAGTTGACAATGACAGTAACAGTTGACAGTGATAGTAACAGTTGACAGTGACAGTAGCAGTTGACAATGACAGTAACAGTTGACAGTGACAGTAGCAGTTGACAGTGATAGTAACAGTTGACAATGACAGTAACAGTTGACAATGACAGTAACAGTTGACAATGACAGTAACAGTTGACAGTGACAGTTGACAGTGATAGTAACAGTTGACAGTGACAGTAGCAGTTGACAGTGATAGTAACAGTTGACAGTGATAGTTACAGTTGACAGTGACAGTAACAGTTGACAGTGATAGTAACAGTTGACAGTGATAGTAGCAGTTGACAGTGATAGTAACAGTTGACAGTGATAGTAACAGTTGACAATGACAGTAACAGTTGACAATGACAGTAACAGTTGACAGTGATAGTAACAGTTGACAGTGACAGTAGCAGTTGACAATGACAGTAACAGTTGACAGTGACAGTAGCAGTTGACAGTGATAGTAACAGTTGACAATGACAGTAACAGTTGACAATGACAGTAACAGTTGACAATGACAGTAACAGTTGACAGTGACAGTGATAGTAACAGTTGACAGTGACAGTAGCAGTTGACAGTGATAGTAACAGTTGACAGTGATAGTTACAGTTGACAGTGACAGTAACAGTTGACAGTGATAGTAACAGTTGACAGTGATAGTAACAGTTGACAGTGATAGTAACAGTTGACAGTGACAGGAACAGTTGACAGTGATAGTAGCAGTTGACAGTGATAGTAACAGTTGACAATGACAGTAACAGTTGACAGTGATAGTAACAGTTGACAGTGATAGTAGCAGTTGACAGTGATAGTAACAGTTGACAGTGACAGGAACAGTTGACAGTGATAGTAGCAGTTGACAGTGATAGTAACAGTTGACAATGACAGTAGCAGTTGACAGTGATAGTAACAGTTGACAGTGACAGTAGCAGTTGACAGTGATAGTAACAGTTGACAGTGATAGTAACAGTTGACAATGACAGTAACAGTTGACAGTGATAGTAACAGTTGACAGTGACAGTAGCAGTTGACAGTGACAGTAGCAGTTGACAGTGACAGTAGCAGTTGACAGTGATAGTAACAGTTGACAATGACAGTAGCAGTTGACAGTGATAGTAACAGTTGACAGTGACAGTAGCAGTTGACAGTGATAGTAACAGTTGACAGTGATAGTAACAGTTGACAATGACAGTAACAGTTGACAGTGACAGTAACAGTTGACAGTGATAGTAACAGTTGACAATGACAGTAGCAGTTGACAGTGATAGTAACAGTTGACAGTGACAGTAGCAGTTGACAGTGATAGTAACAGTTGACAGTGATAGTAACAGTTGACAATGACAGTAACAGTTGACAGTAACAGTTGACAGTGACAGTAACAGTTGACAGTGACAGTAACAGTTGACAGTGACAGTAACAGTTGACAGTGACAGTAACAGTTGACAGTGATAGTAGCAGTTGACAGTGATAGTAACAGTTGACAGTGATAGTAACAGTTGACAATGACAGTAACAGTTGACAGTGATAGTAACAGTTGACAATGACAGTAGCAGTTGACAGTGATAGTAACAGTTGACAGTGACAGTAGCAGTTGACAGTAATAGTAACAGTTGACAGTGACAGTAACAGTTGACAATGACAGTAACAGTTGACAGTGACAGTAACAGTTGACAGTGACAGTAGTAGTTGACAGTGATAGTAACAGTTGACAGTGATAGTAACAGTTGACAATGACAGTAACAGTTGACAGTGATAGTAACAGTTGACAGTGACAGTAACAGTTGACAGTGATAGTAACAGTTGACAGTGATAGTAACAGTTGACAGTGATAGTAACAGTTGACAATGACAGTAACAGTTGATAGTGACAGGAACAGTTGACAGTGACAGTAACAGTTGACAGTGACAGTAACAGTTGACAGTGACAGTAGTAGTTGACAGTGATAGTAACAGTTGACAGTGATAGTAACAGTTGACAATGACAGTAACAGTTGACAATGACAGTAACAGTTGACAGTGACAGTAACAGTTGACAATGACAGTAGCAGTTGACAGTGACAGTAACAGTTGACAGTGTCAGTAACAGTTGATAGTGACAGTAACAGTTGACAATCACAGTAGCAGTTGACAGTGATAGTAACAGTTGACAGTGATAGTAACAGTTGACAATGACAGTAACAGTTGACAGTGATAGTAACAGTTGATAGTGACAGTAACAGTTGACAGTGATAGTAACAGTTGATAGTGACAGTAACAGTTGACAGTGACAGTAGCAGTTGACAGTGACAGTTGACAGTGATAGTAACAGTTGACAGTAACAGTTGACAGTAACAGTTGACAGTGATAGTAA